CCTGAAATCCATGCCCTGGGAAATGGGGGTTGGATAAGGCTGCTCTGTGAGTGTGGCTTGTCACTGGAAAGGCAGGAGAGAGGGAAAGCTGGGAAAACACCGGCTGTGGGGAAAGGCCCACCAGGCTGATGTCACTTGGTGACTGACAATGACTGCTGATCTCTGTGGGTGAGGTTTGATCATTCCCTCTTTCCCTATCACACATCTCCAAGAGACAGGGAGGCAGATGCACACTCCAAAGAGCCAGGCCTGGGATGGCCCTTCCCATTGCTCCATTCCCTCTGTGTCCAACGGGAACGGCTCGGGCTCACATTTTCCATGCTCAGAGTCTGCCTCAGCTTGATTATTTTTGGAAAGTGCTTTTGGAGGAGATGGCTTGGCCATCCAGGAGGCTGGGATGACAGGAAGAGGCGTCTCGCTGCAGCACAGCGGCTTCCAGGAGGAGAGCAGGGTGCAGAGGGAATGCTGGGCTGCTTCCCGAGGCTCTTCAGGATCCGTGGATGCTTTTCCCGGGAGCTTTGTGGCTCCCCTACCCCGGTATTTCAGAGCACTCGGGAGCTGCAGAGGGGAGCGCTGGGAGGCTAAATAACATTCCAGGCTTTCTCTGGATCCCTTGTGTAAACAAAGCACATGGAGAGAGGGGCAAAACATGCATGAAAGTGGCTTCAGAAAGATAAACCACAAGGATTTGGGGTGAAAAGGCATCAAAATCATCGAATTGCAGAGCTATAGGGCTGTGCATACCCTTTATATGAATTTGTTGTGTTCTGTTGCCCATGTTCCCACTTTCCCGAGGCTGAGCCGGGATGCTCAGCAGGGATCATCCCCTGCTTTTGGAAGGGCGAGATTTGAATCCTGGACCACGAGAGGGCAGTGCCTGCAGCTGGATTTCCCTCTGCTCCAAGACCCTCCCGGCTCGCCGCCTGGGATTGCCAATCCAAAACAACATTATCTGCTCTTATTCCCGCCCCTCTCCCCTCCTTCTCCCTCTCCTGGCAAGGGATTATTCTGGAAATTGGAACGGCTTTGGCACTGGAGTTTCCCTGTTCAGATGACTTGAGCAAACAGACTGGGTGGGAGTCATCTAAAATTAGGCATCGTGGTGCTAGCTGCACTTTGATCCCACAAAAGGAGCTGATGTGGCCTGGGAGGCTCTTCCCGAGGTCAGGGCTCGCTGGTAACCCCTCTGGAATATCCTGGGTGCCTCCATGGGGATTTGTTGAGGATAGAAGCTGGGAAAGGGGAGCACTGTGATGGATTGTTGGAAGGGGACTTGCACAGGGGTTTTAGGATGCTGAAGTTTCTCTTGAAACCCCCCAGCCCACCTGTTTCCTTCCTTCCTTACCTGTGCAAACCAACTATCCCGGTCCAAGGAGTGTCCCTGGAAAGAGTCCAAGGTCCAGCCTTGCCCCCAGGGCCGTTCAGGGAACGGGTTCATTGCCTCCCTCCCAAAGTCTGACCCAGGAGCAAACACCTTCTGCCGTGGATCCCAAGGTCCCACGGGACAGCAGAAGCTCTAACCAAGCCTCAGGCTCCTGTATCTCCTCCTGCTGTTTCCCTGGGCAAGTTTCCTGGGTGATATCCCAACACAAGGAGAACATAGCCCCCAGCCTGGGAAATCCTGCCCAAAATGACCATCACTGGGTTTGGAGGTGAAGGAAGGTTGTGATGAAGTGCCTGCAAAAGTCAACCACGCATCAGCTTTTGGGCCAAGAAAGTGGATGTGGAGCCAGGTAAACCCCACAAACTGCTGCTGCTTCTGCTTCTCCAGGTGGTCTCATGTGGCCTGAGATTCACTGCAGAGACCTGAAGAGTTGAAGGAGCTGCCACCACCCACCATCACCATCACCAGCCCTGGCTGCAAATCACCATCCCACCTGCAAATGGGACCAGGCCAGACCATGGTATCACCCTCAAGGTGAGGGATTTGGAGCATGGGAGGTACAGAGAAACTTTATTCTTCTCTCAGACATCCCTTCCCTGGGAGGGTGGGCAGGCCCTGGCACAGGTTGCCCAGGGAAGCTGTGGCTGCCCCATCCCTGGAAGTGTCCAAGGCCAGGCTGGAGGGGATTTGGAGCAACCTGGGCTAGTGGGAGGGGTTGGAATGAGATGATCTTTAAGGTCTCTTCCAACCCAAACCATTCCGGGATTCTATTACTTGAGCAAAAACATTGTGTTTCCTGACTGACTGATGCTCAGCATCCAAAAAAGGGCCTGGGATGAAGAAACAGAGTTTTTTCCAGAGTTTCCACACAGCAATCCTGCAGCTCAGCCTCCTCCCTCCCCCTCAGCAGGTCATGTGTGGTTGCAGGAGCACAGAGAGCCACGCCTGGGGTCACCCACCGTGGTGACAAAGGGCTGTGGGGCCACGTCTGACCCTCAGGGATGGTTCTGCACGTGCAAACTGCACCTGAGGAGCACCTGCCAAAGTGCCCAACTTCTGTACAGGCAGTAGGGGAGCGACCCCAGAGGGTTCTCTTTAAATTAAGGCTGTGGGTGGCAGGTCTGCCTCAATAATCCATAACAATTTGCCTTTCAAATCTTGGGCACCAGAGCTTGAGCAGCTTGTGAATCACACTATCTTCAGTGGCAACATTTAAGGAGCAATTTGGTGTTGTCCAACTTGCCCAGCCTTGTTTCAGGTGAAATTGGAAAGTTCATTTTCCATGCTGGCTCTTGGAAATCACAGAATCCCAGAACGGGCTGGGTTGGAAGAGACTTCAAGCTCCTCTCATTCCAACCCCCTGCCATGGGCAAGGGCACCTTCCACTAGCCCAGGTTGTTTAGAAATGGCTGGGGGGGTGTCTGTGGCCAAATTAAAAAAAATAGCAAACCAAATTGTCCCTTCTGCCCCAACCCTGTCCCTGAGAAAAGCTACCAAGGCCTTCCAAAAGAGCAGCTCACAACGGGGATGGGATTTCTTTTGTTCCAGAGTTTCCAAGCTGCTGGAGAACCACAGTGTATTGTTTCAGCAAGAGGCAGGAGCTTAGTTTTGGAAGAGGGAAGGTGTAACAAATAATTCTCACTTTTCTTGGCAGGGGCCGTGGTGAGCTGGAAGCAGGGGCTGTGTTTCAAGTGAACAATTCTCCTGCCCTCGATGGGCCCCTGAGCTGGTCCTCAGGGGCTGGAACATGAGGGTACCATTCTTCAGCACCTCCTGGCACCCTTCCACAGGAGGTTTGGCTGTGGAATTTCTGGTGAGAGGGTCCTGCTGCTTTGTTGGATGACAAAAGGAAAGCAGAGCTGGTCTGTGCCGTGGTGCAGAGGAAGAGGAGCTGCCTGACCCTCAAACCAGGCTGGGCATTGGGGTTCCCTATTTGGGAATGTGCTGGTGGAACAAGGAGCCTCTCACAGGTCTTTGTAAAGTTGTTTAAACTCTTGGTCTGGGCTAGGGTGTGATGGGGCTGCTGTACACTCAGGCTGTGAGTCTGCATCATGGGATTTGGATAATTTATGGGAACCCTGTAGCTGGAATAAAATTTCAGGGGTCAGAAGGTGAGATGAAGAAGCAGAGAAATGAGGGTAAATAGCAGGAGCAGGTCCCTGACAGACAGTCCCACAGTGCTGCCAGTCAGGCCTGTGGACAGGAGAGCACAAATCTGTCACCAAGTGTGACACAGGGAATGAACCAGGACTGACAGGAGACAGGGTGGGTGCATGTGGAGCATGCACTGCACAGAAATCACTGCCCCTGGGTCTTTCTGCCTTATAGTCCACTCCCAGGAGCTGGAGTTCTGTCAGAAAAAGGCAGGATTGTTCAAGGGCAAATGTGCCCAGCCCTGGAGCTATTCAGGAACAGCTTTCCTTCTTTCCATGAAGAGCCAATTTTTTTTGGTACTGATTAGCAGGAAAAGAACCATAGGCTTGGCTTCCTTCAGCTAGAGAGAGCTGATGCCCTCCTTATTTACTTTTATTCATCTGAAATCAAGGGGATCATCAGAGACTGATCTGATGCTGTGGTACATTCACCATTTTAGCAGCCAGATGGTTTAACAACCCTGTGATCCTGGTGGGACTGAGCCGTGATGCCAGCAGGAAGGGGACAATGTGACGGCTGCTCCCAGGACCTGCTGCATTTCTAGCACAGGAGAGGAGTGAGTTTGGAAGAACCAGTGATTTCATATTTTACAGATCCTGGAGGTTTATATTTTTCACTTATTCACGTAAAATCCCAGGTATCTTTATGGATTCACATAAAATCCGCAGGTATTTTTATGGTGAGTTTTTGGGTTTGTTTTTATTTTAAAACCAAATTGGGTAGAGAAGTAGGTAAATGTAGAAAAATGCATTTTTGGATGTTTTAAAAAGATTTTTCATCTCTTCAGGGGCTGTTTCCTTTACAGATTAGCTCAAAAAATGTCACAAATTACTGTAAAAAGATCAAGAGCCAGAGGCTGTTTTTACATGGGCATTTGAGGTGTTGTTGAGGAGAGGGAAAGGGAGAGGAAGAGGGAGAAGAAGAGAGAGGGGGAAAGGGAGAGGGAGAGGTAGAGAAGAGGACAGCTGCCTCTCCCCTCCTGATGACTTTGATAGTGGTGCCTCTGGACACCTTGAACCAACCTTGGTGTTGCTTAGTTTTCTCTTCTGCTCAGGGGGACGTTTTCCCACATGCTGGAAATGTGATTTGGGCACAATTCTCAGCCAGCAGAAGAGAAAACATCATTGCTCTGACTGTGCTGACAGTGATTTTTAATGGTTTGTTGTTTCCAGGCAAGAGGGGCTTTACCAGAGTGTGAGAAACCTGAAGGAAGAGAAGCAGGAGGCCCTAAAGAGTGCTGATTGAAGCCCAAGAGGGGCTGGGTGCTGGGCAGGAGGCGAGCCAGCCATGGGGGACAAGAACTGCAGTCGTAAGTGCCACGGTTTTATTTGCAATCTGCTGTTTTATGGCTGAGCACTGGCTGTGCTTGCAGCCCTGAGAGCGGAGCAGCCGGCACCCAGCGGGCAGGTCCTCGTCGGGCTTTGCAATCTGCTGCCTTCAAAGGTCTTCCTTTTGGGTGCCCTTAATCCCACTTCACCCAGGACAGGCGGGCTGTGAGATCTGCAGGGAACAAGGGAGAGAGGAAAACACGGGACACACTTCAAACCCCCTTAAATTAGCATTTAACGAGTCTACTCTTCAGCCTCTCCAGAGGAGGAGCCTGGCTCATCTGGCTCTTCCCAAGAGGAGCTCTGCAGGAATATTAGTTAACCAGAAGCCTGACAGCAGAGGTGATCCCCATGTGTTGTTTAACAACCTGTTTGTCTATTAAGAGCTGGAGAAGCTGGACAATAAAATATAAATATTCTCTGTAGTCAAGAGAGTTGTGGTCACTGGTATACCAGGAGTCATTTTCCCAGTCATGCAGCCGATGGGAATGAATGGGAAAGGAGAAAAAGACTCAATTAACTTTTCTTTTAAACCAAATTATTGCTTTTTCCCTGCAGGCTCTGTCCCTTGGACACTTCCCTGGGAAGTGAAAGGAGGAGTGTTTTTATTCAGTGACTCTGCTCTGGTTTTGTGCTGTACTTTTGAAGGCTTATATGGTCCAAGGCCTGTTTCCAAACTCCAAAGGGACAGGGATAGAAAGGGAGTTAATTAACTTAGAGTGCAAAGTGCCAAGAACTACTGAAACCTCCCCTCTGCTCCTCCCTGCTCTAAGTGGCACAAAACCCATGTTGGGCACTTGGGCAATTTCCTATCTTCACATACTGATGAAACAACATATTCTGGAGGGAGAAAGGACTAAGTTCATCCCACCCAAGTCAGAGCTGAGTCCAAACCAAACAAAAACATTTTTATATATATATATATATACAAACATTATATATATATATACGCATATATAAATAACAGCCCTTCACTTCAAAATAGAAATATTTATATAACAATAAAAATTGCAAATAGGTGTTTGCTCCCCTATACTTTGGAAATAACCTGCAATATGAATGCTCTGTTTTGTGTATCCTGGTTCTGTAACTCTTGGTTACTGGAATATATGTATTTTAAGAAATTAAATATTTCATTAAATATTTAAGAAATTAAATGCTGTCTGTGTTCACAGTCAGGTGTTTTTCTCAGTCAAGTACAGGCTGAGAAAAACTTATAAAGAAAATAAAGACAATCTCTGCAGGCTCCCTTAGCTTGCACCATAAAAGATCAATTTTGCAAAGAATTGGGGAAAAAAAAAGTCTAAAAATATATTCTGAGAATAAAAATCTTGTTTGTAAAAGGAGCCATTCCCATGAGCTTAGTAAGTTGTTTTGAAAGGGTTAATTTTTTTAAAGAGAAAATCCTTCTCCAAAGCGAGTTAGAAGCTGAATTATTTTAATTTTGGGTGTGAGTTTGCTGAGCTCCTCTTCTCTGAAGGTGATTTCTCTGCTGTCAGAGCCACTTGGACGTGGCAAGCGAGGGCTCAAAAGCAACCTGATGCTCTTCCCCTGGCAGCCCAAAGCACCGCTCTCGGGAGCCGAGGGAGCGGCTGGAGCTGTGAGGAGGTTCTGGTGGATCTCGGGGAAAGGTTCTTCCCCCGGGGGGTGCTTGGGCACCGACCAGCGGCCCCAGAGCTCCAGGAGCGTTTGGACAACGCTCTGAGGGACAGGCTGGGGTTGTTGGGGTGGCCCGGGCAGGGCCAGGGGGTTGGACCCTGGAAATCCCTGTGGGTCCCTTCCAGCTGAGGGTATCCTGTGCCTCCCTGTGGTGCTGGTCCCCAAACACCCCTGCCCCTCACTCACCGCTGGTGTTCCAGCTGAGGGTATGCTGTGAGTCCCTATGGTGCTCCCTGAACACCCCCTGCCCCTCACTCACCGCTGGTGTTCCAGCTGAGGGTACCCTGTGAGTCCCTGTGGTGCTGCTCCCCGAACACCCCCTGCCCCTCACTCACCGCTGGTGTTCCAGCTGAGGGTATGCTGTGAGTCCTTACAATGCTGCTCCCCAAACACCCCCTGCCCCTCACTCACCGCTGGTGTTCCAGCTGAGGGTACCCTGTGAGTCCCTACAATGCTGCTCCCCGAGCAGCCCCTGCCCCTCACTCACTGCTGGTGTTCCAGCTGAGGGTATGCTGTGAGTCCCTGCAGTGCTGCTCCCCAAACACCCCTGCCCCTCACTCACCGCTGGTGTTCCAGCTGAGGGTATGCTGTGAGTCCCTACAGTGCTGCTCCCCGAACACCCCCTGTCCCTCACTCACCGCTGGTGTTCCAGCTGAGGGTATCCTGTGAGTCCCTGTGGTGCTGCTCCCTGAACACCCCCTGCCCCTCACTCACCGCTGGTGTTCCAGCTGAGGGTATGCTGTGAGTCCTTACAATGCTGCTCCCCAAACCCCCCTGCCCCTCACTCACCGCTGGTGTTCCAGGCCGCCGGCGCCCGGCTCTGCCAGCCCCTGCTCAGGCACTGCTCCAGGTAGGCCCTGGGGTGGCAGCCGGACAGCAGGACGTCCCCCAGCAGCGCGATGTAGGCGATGGCCAGGCGCAGGGTGTCGATCTTGGACAGGCGCCTCTCGTAGGGGAAGGTGGGCACGTGGCCCCGCAGGCGCTCGAAGGCCGCGTTGATGCTGAGCATCCTCCTCCTCTCGCGCAGGTTGGCGGCGCGACGCTGCCGGCCGGGGGCTGCGCCGGGCTGGGGGCTCCCAGCACCGCTCCCGGGGCTGTCCCCGCGCAGGATGGGCCGTCCAGGCACGGCCAGTCCAGCAGGAGCTCGTCCAGCTGGGCCTCGGGGCCGCCGGGTCCCACGGGAGCGACTCGGGGGGGTCTCGGCGCTCGAAGTCGAAGCAAAGCTCCTCCATGAGGACACGCCGCTCTCGGCCGACCTCCAGAAGTGCTCGCAGCTTCAGGGGGCTCTGTGAGGTTCTAATCTCTAATTTCAGGGAGTCCTGATTGTGTCCTTGAGGAATATCATCCTCGAAAGATGCAAATCCAAGTGGGATTCATGACTTAAATACTTGGTGGCTCCCCAGCAGGGGAATGATCCCATTCTTCTCTGCTCCAAACTAATTAATCCATGTACTTCTCTTTTTTATCAGCTGTTGACTGCAAAACAATGTGAATGAATTGAGGACAGAATGAGTTTTTTATTGGCTTTCTCCTGGAAAATCCATTGAAGCTCTTGCCCAAGTCCAGTCTCTCCACTTGCTGTTCAGAGCAGGGTTCACACGGGGGTTTTGTTGTTATTGTTGTTGAGTTTGGTTAGGAAGCAACTAAATAGAGTCCTTTATCTTTCTGGTGAAGTGTTAATAGCCTCGCTCCTGCCCGTGGCTTGACAAACAACGTGTTATTGTCCTGCTGTCAGAAACACCTGATTCTGCCCTCTCTGACAGCAGGAGCCCGTGGCATCTCCTGCTCCTCCAGCTCCAGGAGGTGTGGGATGTGCTGCAGGGTAACGCTGGAACACGGTGGGACCTCACTGAATAACCAGCACCACCTCATTTGCTCGCTGCATGTCCTCACTTACACTGACACGACGTATTCTGTGGCCCGTGTGACATTTGGGGCTGTGTCAGACCAGGAAATGAGAGCAGCTGGAATAACCACACCACAGTCCTAGAAGGGTGGACCAGCTGGGAGAGAGGAGCTGGAAACTGGGAGAGTGGCAGGTGGAGGGTGCAAAGCACCACCAGAACTTTAAAGCAAGTGCAGGATATAAGTGTGTTCTTCATTCCCTCTGATTTCTACAATGCTTAAGCCAAGGTTTAAATGAATTCAGAAATGGTTTAAGGTCATATTTTAAGGATTTCAATAAATGGAAACATGTTTAAAGTTAGAGCAAACCTAAATGCTTTTCCTGAAGCATCTCATAAAGAACTTTTATAAAGATACTTAATCATATCCCTGAGTTCGTGCACAGACTCGTGTCCTGCTGCTGCTTAAAATTTTAGGAGATGTCTCCTGTGAAGTTTGGGAGCCCCAGGCAGCTGCTGACAGGACAAAGCTCAGTAGCTTCATATAAAGAGCCAGGGAGCAGAAAATGACCTGTGTTTTCCATGGATCCCAAAGGATGCTCAGGTTCTCCATCTAACAGTGGGAGCACTCCCAGTAGCTTTGCCCTGGGAATGGATGGATTGATTTTAAGATAAGGCACAGGCTACTAATGCCTCTTCCCAGTAACCTGGGATTTGGCCTTGTGGCAATGCTACCCGCTCCAGGAAGTTTAGGGCAATGGAAAACAGGCTGCAGGAAAGATTTTGGCAGAGTAGTTGTGAGAAGGTGACAGTTTACAAAACCCTTGGACTCTCTTCTTGTGTAAATTGAACAAGAAATCCATTTAACTGCAAATCTGCTTAAGAAAGGGAAATACCAAGTGTGACAGTCACAGAATCCTCAGGGTTGGGCAATAGAAGGCAAAGAGCTGCTAAATAATTAGAGCGTGTTTTGCCTCCTCTGCTCAGCTCAGGGCACGAATTGTGTGATGGTTTTGTACAAAAGTGAATAATTTGTCATGATACCAACAGCAAGTTGCTGGTATTGTGAAAGTTTGTAGTGATGGACAGCTTCTGCTGCAGGTGAATCCCAACAAGGGACAAGGAAGGGATGCAGGAGGGGTGAAAGGAATGGCCATGGAGAAAAGCTGAGGCTGGAACTTGGGAGTTCACTCTGCAATGGCCTATTTTAAGCTATAGAATCCTTAAGGCTGGAAAAGACCTTCAAGTTCATCAGGTCCAAGTGTCCACCCAGCCCAAACCTGCTCAGTGTTAATTCCCACTTCCCAAAAGGAACAACTCCCTGCCTGTTCTCTATCAGGCACCTCCACAGCTCCCTGCTCACTGCTGAACTCTGCACCTGCTTGGGTCAAACAGAAGACCACTTGAAAACCCCCAGATCGGCAGGAGAACAGCAGGTCTTCTCCTGAGCAGGGCTCTGGAGGAGACAGGGTGAGTTTTAAGTGCTGGGTTCCTCCTCAGCAGATGCTCCTCCAGCGTGAACGTTCCCTTGCAGAGCCATCAGTGCGAACGTTGCCTGGGGATATGTCTGGCTCCACAGATGGAGAGCAGATGTTCCAGCAAACCTCCTTTTAGCATGTTCACGGGCAATTTGGCTCTCTCAGAGAGACTCTGGACAAAGCAGAAAGGGAGGAGGGGAAGAAAGAGGGAAAATAAGGAAAGGTTTCCCCTTAGAAAGCCAGCCCAGGGCTCAGGAGAGAGGAGGAGGTTCCCATTCCTCACCTTTCCACAGTTTTGTGCTCCCAGTGTTCCTGCACCTCTGTTCCTCAGAGAGAGAGGGAATGTACCACTAATTGGGCTAATTTTGCACTTGTCTGGAAGTTGCTGGTGAGGGAATGAGGTACCAAAGGTACCACCCTCAGAGGGGTGGCTGCTGGTTATGACATGTCACTAAGATTTCCAGATCTGCTCAAGTGCTATTTCCTCCCAAATATATTCAGATCCAGCGGGATCCTGAAATAACATTCGACTGCTGGTCATTTTTAATCAGTAGGGGCTGATGAAAGCAAATTATTGATTGAGAAACTTTGCCCTGGGTTATTGTCCACGATAATCAATGGAGCCATCATTGTTTGGGTGTGCATTTTCCAGAGCTGTGTAACATCTCCCTTTAGAATTCTCCCTATTCGTGTTGGGAACCACCTTCCTCAGTCCTGTCCCCCTTCCTCTGTGGCCTACACAAATCCACCTACAGCAGACTCTGTGATTTTCCCCATTTCACAGAATTTCGGGTATAAATCTGCTTTTAGGGCATATTTCCACTACAGATTGTTTTTGTTACAGTGCCTTAGCAGCTAAAAGCTGTTTCCTTCTACCCATATCCCCAAAAAACCCAGGGTCACCTGAGGTTATTTAGGAGGAAGATTTTTCTCTCCTCTTCTTGTCCCATTTGCCTTATTTCAGACTCAGTTGGGACCTTCTCAGTGACATTGGGAAACCTCCCAGTGCTGACAAAATGGCACTATTCTTCTTATTATTATTATTTATCTTTTTCTCTGCTGGGAATTTAGTCTGAATATGTTTCTATCATGTTTAATGGCTTAATAAAGGGGGTCAGTCCTTGGCCTGGACAAAGAACGGATGGAGAAAGGACCAGATCTTTGCTTTCAAGTGAGATGACTGAAGCACAAGTGCATCCTGTCACAGCTGCTAATCCAGCATTACCCTGTGCAGCTCTGGGAGTTGGGTCCCAGATGGATGGAGAAGACCAGAGGAAAGATGCCAAAAGTGCTGGGGAATGTTTTATGCCAGTGGGACAGTGCAGCTCCTGGTGGGGCAGCTCCCTTTTAACATGAGGTGTGAGAGGGACCCCCAGGACCTGAGCTGGCCTGAGCTCCTCACAGCCACCACCCTTTATCCCCCTGATCCTACACCTCCTGTTGAGCCACAGGCCACCCCTGGGACACCTGAGTTAGTAGGCACATTTTTTGGTGAAGTGCTGGGGGCAAGAAAAGTGCAAGTATTATCATTTAACAGTGGAATGTGCTTCTTTTTAAGCTAAAACAATTGCAAAGGAAGGGCCTAATGAAAAGCAGAGCAAGGATTCCCAGGGCAAGAGGATTTCAAAGGGCTAATGGCCATTTCTGAGCTGCTGGAGTAATTGGGAAACAAAACTTTCGTAGGATGTTGATTTAAGCAAAGAAGGTAACAGGACCTTTATTATTCCCAGGGTAGAAACATGGATTGTGTGATCAGATGTCAAAGTTTGGGAAGGAAGGTACCGGTGGACGGTTGTTAATACAACTTTGATTTCGTTGATTATTACTATAAACTACTCAAGACAGTCTTGGCTTTAAACCCTTTGGTGTTTAAAAGTGAACACAGTCACTTTACCCTTTCTGCAGGGTGTTTGCAGGGTCACACCAAATCAATCCCAGCCTCTGGGATTGTGTTTTCTCTGGGAGGTGTTTTCTCTGTTAAAAACACTCACTGGTGGTTTCCCCTTTCTCACAGAGCTTTTTATGGGGTTGGGGGGGTGACCTCTGGGCTCTTGCTGCCAAATAATTCCTGATCCAAGTCCCTGCCCTGTGGCTGCTTGGATCAGTGACTGGTCATCTCTGGGAGACGATGTGTACATCAGGCTGTGCTGGATGGAAGTGCTCCTGGGGACTCCTGAAGGAATGTGGTGTTCCTTGGGCAGTTCCCCTGGGAATGCTGCTTGTCCTGGGCCTCCCTGTGGCTGGTTGTCCACACTTCAATCCCTGGAAGTGTCCAAGGCCAGGTTGGACGGGGCTTGGAGCAACCTGGGCTAGTGGGAGGTGTTCCTGCCCATGGCAGGGGTGGGATGAGATGGGATTTAAGGTCCCTCCCAACCCAAACCATTCTGGGATTCTACAATTCTTGAACCATCTGGAACATCCCCCTGGCAAGGTTAACATAGTGCTGCACCCAGGGATTGCAGGCAGTTCCCATGGATAACCCTGTCTCCATACCCAATGACAAATATCTCTAGGGAGAGGAAAAACTGTGGCTCATGTGACATCTTATGCTGCTGTTGGAGTGTTTATTTGGACATCTCAAAGTGGTGACTTGCTCCAAGCCATGGTATGGTGACTTGGCCATCAGGAACTGAGAAAATCCTTCAGAGTCTTCCTTTTTGAGGAAAACAGGAAAGTTTGGGTTTGGTTTTGCAAAGCCAGAGTAGAAAATATGTTTTCTGCAAGGTGCATGTGCAGTTTTTAAAGAGGTAGGGTTTCCAATCATGAAACCACACGTGCCCCTTTCTCTGGGTACAAGAAGTCCTGAATATCTGTTTGTCATCAGGATTTAATGAAAAACAAACCAAAACAACCCAAAACAAGGAAAGAAACCCCAATCCACTGTCTCCCATAGCTGTACCAAGGTTTTTT